CTGTACTTGAAACTGGATATCCTTTAATGTGGTAGCTAATCTATATCACTGTTCTCAATCCAGCTGTCATTTGTTCTTCAGGCTAAATATAATAGAAATTCAAACTCGGGTTAAGTAGTGTAAAAGTGAAAATGCTGTGTTCTTCTATATGCCATAAAGACAAGCTGATAGACCTTCAAATTTACCATGGTTTTGGCTTGCCCTGCACTTACATTGGAGGGTTTAAGTTTAAACTCCACTATGTCAACCAATGACTTACAACTAATTTAGTTTGAGGAAGCTGCTGATTTTGGATTTATGTCCTATCAAGTGGCCAGTTCTGGCACAGCATAAGCTCTTCCAAGCACTTCCTGCATAAAGAATAAGGAAATTTGGTACAATGATTGTGAGGAAGAGAATGCAGTATATGGCATTATGCATACTAATTTCAACAGTCAGTGTTAATTTGAGAGCCCTCAGTGTGTCTCAAGTATTTGAATCAGCAACTGTGTAGGATAATTTTTTTATGTTCTGATACTGTTTTCCTTGAATTTAATAGAAAAATCCTGGTATTTGACACTCAAATCATTCTGCAAACAAAGTGCATCCATTTCTAGTATCAATTTCTAGTCTTCAGTAGGACGATGTAGTGCAGATGCTTAGCCCTACAGCAAGAGCTTAGGGAAACAAGTTGACTCAAAGGAGTTAGGCAGTTGAGAAGAGGATGCTCCATTCTAAATTATGCTCTGAAAAACAGGTTTCTTATGGCCTCTTGGAAGGGGGATTTATTTTGTATGGCGTCTGAAAATAAACCAGCAGTCACTTTCCTAGAAGTTAGGAAGAGGATGTCTTTTAAAAAGAATGTGTTGGGATTTTGCATTTTTCCACCTATTTTATGTAACGCTCTTTCTGCATGATGTTTGGAAGCTGAAATACCACTTACACAATTCCAAGGAATAACTTCTGAAGAGAACTAATTATACTATTTCCCACAGCAATGCTTAATATGCAAAGATTGCTTCTAAATCTGCTTTTCAGGTCATCCTTCTTTTCTTCACACTTCACCATTTTGACTTTCAATGAGGTAATTTCACCCTTAAGCTCATTAGTTTCCATAGGAAATGAATTATAAAAAATGCTAAGTGTGCCATATGAGGTTTAACATCAAAGACATTTCTAGACAGACCATGAATATATGTTGAAGCTATATTTGGTCTCTGTTGGGTATTCTTTTCAGTGCTGCTGAGCTTCAGTTGCTTGCTTTCATTAGGTAAGTGTTGGCTTAGGACTTACCTATTTTTCCCAATCCAAATTGATCTTTAATTGTTTAGAATAAAATCTAAAAACTGACTGGACTGTTTGAGCCAAATGTGTTTTGTCATGGCTCCATGTGCCCTTCTCATGGGGAGAAAAAACCCTTAGTTACGAGTAGGCTGCTTTGTAACAATTGCTTTTAAAGCAAAGATAGATTTCTGAAAGGAAATCTCAGTCCATGTTTCTGCAAAGAAGTTTATAAATGGATTTTTCTTGCTGAATGCTACTCTGAATCCTCAAAGTTAGGATGCAGCAGCTGCATGTTAAATCTTCTGGATTGTTTTCCCATTGAGCCTCCATGCTCAACCATTTTGACTCCCTGGCAGTAAGAAACCTAGCATGCAGGGTTCTTATCAGCTTGTATACCTCCAAGCTTTTATGTTGAAGTTCTGTTTCAACAATGAAAAAAACAGGGAATACCCACATATTTGTGTCCTAATCAATCTACTTAACACATTGGCTAGAAGGATTGCCTGGTATATTCCAGAAAAATTAATTAATAAAAGTTAACATTATTCAAATCCATTTTTACTGAAAAGAATACTCCTTCTGAACACATTATGAACACATTTTTGCCATGCACTGGTGATTGAAATTATTTTCCTCCTCTTCAGCAAGTGTTCAGCATGCTTATCCCATTTGCTGCTTAGTTACAGTATGCAAAATAGCCCAGTAAACTGCCGCATTACACAAAGGTAAAACTGACTCCCGAGCCCATGTATGAGTTATGAGGATTTCTGTCATTACAAAGTGGCAGCATAGCACTCAGAAGTAACATAGCTGTTAGGAAAGAAATAAATGCCATAAGTAATACTATTTAAAAACTAATCCTAGTCAATATTTACAGCTGAGAGTGTTAGAGCACTCTATTCCACCCGGAGCTTTCAGAGTTACTTAAATTTGAGCTATGACTCTTTTGAAGAGTAGGGGTGGAAACTGTTTCTGCTCCTGGGGGGAGGAAAAAAAAGAGGAGAGTTTCAAAACAGTTCCTTTAGCTGTAAGGGGAAGAAAATATTTTATAAATTCTTTGAAGGTACAAAATAAAGCACAGATATCTCTTTAGCAGTTAATTTTAGTGATCTGCCTAAAAAAAAAGGAAATAGGAACTTCAAAAGCCAAGTCAGGAAATTGTCTCCCATGTGTTGTACTCCTGACTCTTCAGGGCAGACCAAGAGTGAGGAGGTGGCCTTTGTGTACCTGCAGCAGTTAGGTGTTGGGCTTCAATAGTTTCTAGTGGCAGAAGACCTCACCTTTGAATAGTTTGGTGTATCAGCTGCCTCTGTTCTGAGAATAAGCAGCAGTGTTCAACATTGCTTATTCTTCAAGAGGAAAGTCTCTCAGCGTATATGTGTATATAGTCCATGCTGAACATACGATACCAGATTTAGTGTCTCTGTATAATTGCCTATCTGCTGCTATGGCAGGCAATGATAGAATTGTTACATGGTGTTGAGACAAGCTCTGTGACAGGAAATCCAGACTCCTACAGAACCCAGCCTTTGGCAGGTAGGCTTCACTCATTTAGAAAAATCTGTTCTTGGTTATGTAGAGGAACTCAGTGTAAACAACCACCTCATTACCTCACTAGGTTACTGAGGAGAAACCAAACAGGATCTAATCCTTGGCTGTTTGCTGACTGAATGCTGCAGCAGCTTTTGTGCTCCTTCTGTTGCAGCAATTGCTAGGGAGGTCGCTGTGCTGGTGTACCCCATGTGATGTGCTGGTGCTCATACAATTCAGTCTTTCACCAAAAGAAAAGGAGTGTCATTACATTGTAGAAATGAATAGTTAAACATGCTTTTATTGAAAAAGCCACTTTTTCCAGCCCTTCAAATGTAGCTATTGTCAATAACTGAACACAAGTACTTTTCAAAAGTAGATTTCAGTACTTCAATCTTTAGAAATGTAAGAAGTAACAAAACATTGACTCTGAATTACAGTGTGTATCAATTTAATGCAGTGGAAGTTATTATTAGAGTACTGAAGACTTCTAAATATTTTCTTAAATCATAAATATATTAACTCTTCCCTTTGAATCAGATAGCATTAATTAAAAAACAACAATGACAAAAAAACAGTCCAACAACAAAAAAACCCAACTTGGAGCCAGACCTTTGTGCTTCAAACCTGTTCACCACAGTCTGGTAATAACAAATGCAGAGACTTGTTTGCTGTTCATGTTTGAGTCAACTGCTAAAGGGCATATGTGTGTTTGCTTCCACTGCTGCCAGATGCAAGGCTCCTATGTCTACGCAGACACGTAAACACACACTCAAAGTATAAGGCAAAACCAATAGTCTTGTGTTGCATATCTCAGACTTTAATAGGTGGCAAATGGAAGCTGTAATAGCAGGTGAAATCATAAATAATTCATTTAAATATTTCAGGAATCAGACTTAAATGCCTTCACATAGAAGGATTAAGATAACTCAATGCACACTGTACCTAATATAGGGGAAGATTTGTATGGAAGGTATTTCTGACACCTGTTTATGGCATACTATTGCTTTAAAACAATGTGCTGTTTCAGCTGCAAAATACAGCTTCATAAGGAATTTCTTTCATTTAAGAAAGCAAAATAATTCTAAGTTGTGGGCTGAACATGCAGGAGTCTCTTGCAAAGATAGGAAAACATCACCAGGAGGCAATTAAAATACTGATGGGGTTACTGAAGGCAGTAGGACTAGCAGGCTTCCCTTTGGTTCAGTGTTCAGTTGAATGCCCTCTATTTGTAACCAGGGAGGCACAACCACTTAGTAGTCCATTTCTAAAGAAAATGAGCACTCAGAGTTTGCCCCACTTAATTTTAAGTCTTGCCTGCTAGAGGAAGGGAAATAGTTCTCTAGTCAATGTGCGTTACCAGCAATAAATAGCTGGTGGATATAGGATCAGAGCAGCTGCAAATATCCAAGTGTTGGATGCTGAAAACTATCCCTAGTGTTTCAGTGTTTTTATATACATGCTTCTGTTGCCATGAGGAGTCACTTAAAAATGTAGTGCACTATGTAGATCTAACAAAGATAAAGCTACATCAGACTTTTATAGAACTAGCATCCAGTATTGGGTTGCTCAGCTTGTCTGTATGCTTCTCTAAAGTTAGAGCTAGGATATGAGATAATTGTTGTCTGTAATATTAGAGATGCTAATGCTTGGTAAACTTTGTGCTAGAGTGCAGAAGTTACGAAATGCTTAAAATTAAGTTTACAAAACTGTACACAAACATGCATGGTTGAATTCTTACCCTTGGCTTGTCAAGGCTTGGATTGTACAGGCATAGCTATAAACAAAATTTAACTCGGAGCTCCCAACAGAAAGTTTCAAGTGATACCACAGTGACAGAGAACTGATTGACATTTCAGATATAAACCATGGTATAACCATCTCGGATGACTTTCATTTCTCATTCCAGAAAAGATTTTCTGCAGTCTGAAGTACTTTTTCAGAGGATGCTTTCTTGTATAAACCACATCAAAATTCCATGCAGGAGAACAGAGATGAGGTTAGTGAGCATAAGGACAGGTGGAATTTGCACTGTGCTGTTGTATGTATCCTCATAATCTCAGTCCCAGCAGATAAGAAGCAAAGACCGTTCTTAACAAAGTTGCACATCTATGACTGCCATGCCATTGCTTGGCACAGCTTCCACTCTGATCACATCCCTGTTGTCTCTGTTTTTGTGAACTGATGTTTCAGTCTTTCTGAGGGCATCACTGGACTGAAGCTTGGCTTAGCGTAGGAGCAGTTAGGGTATCACAGTTCTGTGAGGTCTCAGTAGTAGTTGCATCCTCAGCTGACAGACTCTGCTGTTCCCTGGAAGAGCTTGGGACCTTCACATGACCTTTGTATAAAATGGGGGATTTTGCCCAAAGGGGAAGATTTGACATGAAGCTCGCAGAACTGTTCCCCTCCACAGTCAGAACCACCGGCTGTTTATCTGGCACAGCTGGAGCATAGACAGCATTTTGCTCTGACAGATGATCTCCACATTGACTAAGGTGTTCTGCTAGGACAAGAGGCTGCTGATCATCCCCTTCTTCAGAAATAACAAAAACTGGTTTGTTTTTATCTGTTTCTAACATAAGTTCCTTTGTTTTTGAACCATTGACCAAGTTGATTTTCAGTGAGTTGGAGCTCTCTAGAAGATTTCTGGGGCTTTGGCTGTTAACTGGAGATGTTGCCCCTAGGTGTCTTGACGGATCCAAGGACCTCACATGTTTGCTGTCAGGGGAACTGGCTAAAAATCCAAAATAAGGGTTCCCAAACCTGGATTTCTTCAAATTGCAGGAGCTTAGCTTCCGCTGCCTTTGTGCAGACAGCGTGAGGGGGTATGAGGCATTACTGGCAGATGAATCAGAGTAAACAGTCCCTGATGCTCCCTCTATCTCAGTGGCTGAGATTACTTTTCTGGTTGGGACACCTTGAGACCTTGCAGCTGTAGGAAAACCCTGTACAAAATAATGATAAATTAGCAGACATGCCATGAAAAGCAGCTATCTTTGATCTCAAGGGAACTAAACGTTAAGATTTCTGGTTATGTTAATTCTTTAGCAAAACCTATGTTATTACCTTAAAAAAAAAAAAAAAGAAACCTCCTCTGTTAGCTTTGTAACAAGATGTTGGTTTGATGACTACAGTCACTGAGACCTAGATATTCCTCCCACGCTTACAGATTCCTAGCAATGTAATAGTAATATGTCAATTAAAACAAATTTAAGGCATAACCGGGGGAAAAAGGTACATGTCAAAACATTCAATGAGATAATTTAGTGTGAACGCATTTTTAAATGTTTTTTCTGGATCAGGGATAATTTCCTAACCAGGTGCTAACTGCTGGGAAATACAGCTTCTTAGCACTTCAGGGAAGCCTGAATAAATTGCAATATAGGTAGGCAAAAGAGTTTCCCATATACCAAGCAAGATGGACTGCAGTGTACATCACATTGCAGGTTGGGGAGGCAAAGCAGTAGACCAAGGGGAAAACATGTCCTGTCAGCAAGCAGCAGGGAGTACTGGAGCACAGACCCCAAGCACCACTTCTTCCCGCCTTGCAAGACTTACACTGTTGTCAACAAGCTTTGTGAAGGGACTGTTAGTGGTCCAGCTACACCACTTTTTCTGTAGCTGTGGTATTGGAGCCAGGAAGTCGTGGAAAGTGCGGGCACTCCACGTGCGTTGTCTGGGACAGTGATTTTCCAGTGGGGCATTCCCCTTCTCAACGGTGTCTGCTCCTGCAGCTGCGTGGTTAGAAGCCAGCCAGTCAGACACAGAGGCTGGGCTTGTGACACTTCTTTTTAGGTTTTTGTCCTGAAAAGATTAAACAAAGATTGTATACAGCATCTGTCATCAAAATGTTTTAAAAACAAGTGCAAGAGACTTGATTTCTTCAATGGTTCTGTTCTCAGGACGAGACAGGAATGCAGCTTCTCCTAGTTGCTTTTCCAGCGAGTTGCCTGAAGTTCGCTGGGTTCCCTGGATGAAAGTTTTGCCTTGCTTCCCCAGTTTGAGGTTTAACACTAAAATGTGACATTTCAGTTGTATAAGATACAAAGTCCTACCGCTTTTACTAACCAAATACATCAAATATCTACAGCTTTTTTTTACTGGAGATATGTGATAGATCAGAGTAGTAAACTTTGCTGTGTAAAACATAATTCTTCCACTTTGCTTGACTTTTGGAAGGCTCCAGATGTGTCTGTCTGGGAAAACAAAACTTTGAGGATGGGGCCTGCTGGAATAAGTGCAGAAGCAAGCAAAAAGAGAATCACAAGTCTCAAAAATGCATGACTCAGGAGGGAAGACTGAAGTAAGTGGTGCTCTTTATCCTATGTTAGGGAAGAATTAAGAAAATAAAAAGAACTAAAAACAAAGAGAAAGGGAATAATCTGTTCTTGGTGTCTGTGGTGAATAGAACAAGAAGCATGAGACTCAGATTAGAGCCAAGGAGATTTTCATTTCATGTAAGAAATGCTTTTCAAGTGGAAAACGTGCTTTAGCAGTAAAACAAGATGTCCAGACAGGTGTAAAATTGGCATCACTGGAAGGTGAAACCATATTAAACCATTGTCACCAACTCTGTGAATAAGCAAAATTGATCTGACATGGGAATGAACTATAGATTACTTCTAAAGATTTCTTCCATGCTTTATATGTTCTGATGTTGCATTTAAAATCCCAACTTTTATCCTTAATATTGATGTGGTTTTAGAGCCAAGAAAGTTAAATAATCCCTGACTGTGCTATGAATCTCCTTTCATTCTTACTAATACTTCACCTGCTATTTATATAAGCCTCCTGTTCCACAACTCTGTGTGTATTTTTAATTTTCAGCTGTGCGAATACGGTTGTCATGAGAGGAATGCAAAATCCACATTCCCAAAGTTTACATAGTCCTTAAAGAGAGTCTGAAATAAATCCAAGAGTGTCCTGGATTTAAAAGTCATGAGAAACTAGAAACCTGTCATTTGTTATTTCAGAGAAACTGAATCTCTCAAGTTTCTGCAAATCAAAGAAACTATTTAGTTAGAATGTCATGTTGGAAATGGATGGGCAGAGAGGCAAGAAATTAGCTAGTACAGTAGAAAAAAAAATCTCAGTAGGAAGCCATGAGAGGCTTCAGGCTCTGGATAAGTTTGTTTCAATATTAAACTCTTAGTCTCAGACTTGATTGAAGTAACAATCTTTATTTATAAGCCAGCTGTCTTCTCATCAGAAGCCTCTTCAGGATATCTTAGGATTTATCCTTCTAATATTACTGTAAGTAATTCCAAAGTGGTGTAAAAGCAAGCCACTGGTTTGAGATGGACATACTGGAAGGTGAATGGATATACAAAGGTGAATAACCTATTTTCTAGATTTCGGAAAATGTTTTAGCGAAAGAATATTTCTTAAACTCCAGTGATAATACTGTTTACTGAAACCTTTGCATCTGAAACTTGTAATGTCTGAATAGAAGTCAGGGGTTGTAGTTAGAAGTTAGCCAAAGGCTGAATGATGACTTAAACCAAACGGGACTTAGAAAGCCAGGAGCCTCCTGGAGAACACCTTAGAAGCCATCTGAAAGCCGTCTTACCCTCCCGTCCCTCACATTTGACCATGTACAGAGATGTACATTTGCTGTTCCACCTCTTGCCTCCTCCATCAGGGGATTGGTTTCTTCAGATGGATTTTAAAAGCTAAAAAGCAAAAGCCAGTTCATATCACTGACTCCTGCCCAGCACAGCTGAGGCTCACACTTACTAGGGAACGCAAGACCAAGTGGCCAGTCACCATTCCTCAGTAAAAAGTTCTGGATTTTTTTTAATGAAAGCTCCTTACAGCTTGCTTTGCCTAGTTGAGCATTTTGGGTGAGATGAGTCTGATAGCATTATTTACTGTACCCTAAAGGCTCAGGATTTCACACATCTTTTCACATGAGGGTAACTCCTTAGTTCCTGCTAAGGAAGTAGCTACACTCCACTGAATAACTCATCCTACTTGCCTAGTGCTGGTCCACAAAAGCACCATACCCTCTGTGTGGGGCTCAGAGGCTGGCCAGCTGCATTGTACACCCTAAAAATACACATTTAGAAACTAAACTGTAAACATTTATTTCTAACATCCAGTAACCCAGATTATCAAGTGCCTAAAGAGATCCTGTTTGAGTGCAGGTTTGTAATTAACCTGCTGCACTCAATTTTCACTCCCTGCCCCCCTTCTTTGATGAGGATAGTCTTCAGCTGTGGGGAAAGACCAGTGCCTTTAAAGAGGCCCTTTCAGCCTTCCTGGGTAGTTTTTGTGTTCCTTAAGGGAACTGGTTGAGAGCGTTGACTCACTTGAGTGCAGCATGGACATCACTGAGGAGATGCCTCCTGAGTTAATTATGTGGTAAATCACTTTAATTCTTTGGGTTATCTTCACTTAGGACTGTTTTAACCCTAAGTATTTTATTTTTAGATATATAAATCTCCTCTGATAGGTTGCTTGCAGAAGGGATGGCAAAGTAGAAATGTTTTTTCTTTAAGTGTATTTGTTCATTCTGATTAGAATGGGGAAAAGAGGCAGGAAAATGAGTATCCCTCCTGTCTAGAAGCTGTATTTGTATGTGGCTGCCACCAGGTGAAGCTCTCTCCACTGGAAAGCAGGACCAAGGAGTTGAGGTGTTCAAGGGTGGCCAATTTGGGCAATGATACAACTTACAGTGCCCTGCTCTACAGAAAGTAATGTGTTTGGGCAAGAGAAGATAACAGAGCTGTTTTCCCTTCTTTCCCACATTCTGTTAATCAGTGTGTCTGATGTGAGGAAAAGCTTAGTATGTATCTTAAACTAGCATAGGAAAATCCTGCCCGGCCTGGCCTTCTGGCTAATTTCCTAATCAAGTGCAGGGATACAGAATGCTTTTGTTTTGTAAACTGTGACAGAAGTATTACATAGCCTGTCCTGGGGCATGTGAGTTCCTTGGACTGGTTGTTTCCCCTCTTGTGGGAAAAAGAGAGGGCACTGGAGAGTATTGACCTGGGAAAGGCTTTAATATAGACTTGTAATGGATGTGCTGTCAGGGACTATGCTCAGGGTTGAAGAGGTGATAGACCTGAGACTTCTGAGCTAATATCTGTTTCTAAACAAATAATTAACTGGGAGTGCAGGAGAAAGAGCTAAAATGAGAGAACTGGTTCAGGTTTCTGTGCGTGTGTTTGAAAGGACCCCAGTGCTTTCACTTGAAGTGCTTGACTATTTGTTTTTGGAGCGTACACTGTTAATTTTCACATCAGCCTGGTGAGGCAGTTAACCAGCTTTCTGACAAGCTGAGGAGCTGAGTAACTTCCTTGACCACTTGGTGGGCAAGAGCAGGTCTGACTCCCAGGTCCTTCAGTTGTTACAAGTGATGGTTTTAACGTATTTCTGAGGGTTGGTCCTACTGCCTGCTGGCAGGCCTCTGCATTATTGGCTATTAGGTCCAAGGTACGTTTCTGCACCTGCTCTTATCAAAGCTGGGAAGACACTGGCTCAAGGGATCACAGCCCGTGCTATTCGATGGCAGCTCAGCTAGAGGGTTAGGAGAACTGCCTGGCTTGGTCACTACCTTTCTTGTAAAGTGGGCAGTAAGCATAAATGGACAGATATGACTAGTACTGCCCAAGACAGGCATCCATGGCTTGTTAGAGATGCCGGAGAGTATTCCTACCTGTATCCTGTAGGTGGTAAAGCTCAGCCCGCTAGTGCCAGGTCCAGCAGAAATAATAAATACTTCATCGCTCCCAGTCTCGGTGGTCACTGCAGATATGGAGGAGGGCACATCTGGGTCAGTGTCCTGAGGAGACCGTTCTGTGCTGCCTCTGCAGGAAGTGACTGAGAAAATAAAATCAGTAACAACTGCTTGTGAGAGTCCAAAACATCTGTTCCCAACTCCTCCATGACAAGCCCCCCCTCCTTCCACAGACAAGCTAGAGCAGGCTTTCGCTGGCTGTCTCACCAGCCAGAATAAAACTCAAGCCAACAGTTTGCTCTCCTGAAACTGCAGGCTTTTAAAAACAAAAGGGAAGGAACACTCTTGGGTCTGCTTTCTAATAAAGACAAACCAAAACTAAAATCCGTTATACTAAACGTACAAGGTTGTGCTGGGATCAGAAACTTGCAGATCTGCTGAACTCATTCTTTATTTGTATTTACTCATCCCTGTTAATGTTAGGAGCTGTGCTTTTTGCTTAAACCCTAGTGATGCTGCTCCTACAGGCAGCCTTATGCTCCACGGACTGCCACAGGGGTGTGTGTCTGCATGTGTCCCCAAGGCCTGTACATCTATATCTGGTTCATGCTAGGAAAACTCTGGCCACAGTGTCATCGGTGGCTTTTCCAAAGAAGGAGATTGGAAACTGTCATGGTTGGGAACACAGAATTAGCTTTTTATGAAGATATCCTTGTGTGTATATAATGGCTGATGGTTTAGCGGGAAATGGATGGTGTGTAGCAACATAACATGAAGAAGCTCCCTGTTGACCTTCAGCAATCAGAAGGGGCACTGATGCAATTTATGTGTGGTGATTTAAAATTGCAGCAAGTGACATTATCTGCAGCTTGGCTGGGGGCCTCTTGTTTTAGAAACACACTGTGAGCTAAGCATCGTCTACAGCAGTCCCATCTGTAAAGACCTTCAGAAAACATTAGCTCCAGGAGTCGAAGTTGACTAAAGCCAATCTAAGCATTGTAAACCACATCCTTTCTGGACAAGGCTAGGCACATGGTAAGTGAAACTCTTCCATAATTTATGGATCTTTATAAGTTGTTTGTAGCAGCCTGAACCTGACATATTTGCTCTGCTAACCCAGTGTCTCTGCAATGCCATGTGCTATGACAGCTTTTGTTGGCAGTGTCTGGAGCTGTGCTTGTGCATGCTCCTTGCCAGGGGAATTACCCTACCAGCGAGGGGGGGAGCAGCAAGAGATAGCTCCCACAACAAAGGCTTTCTGCTGTGAAGTGGCTCTCCAGCTGTGCATGGGCAAGACAGCGAGGAGGACTGCAAGAAAGAAACGATCTGATTAACTGGCTGGGGCTACAGGGTGCCCTGACCTGCTCCCGCTGATGCCCCGTGCTTACCCGCCTGCTCCCGGCTCACAGAGTGGTTGTTGTTTTCATTCTCCCGGCTTGGCACCACCAGCTGGAGCTCATTGATATCAACAGTGGAGTTCTGGATCCTGTTCTACAACTCAGAACATGCCCCAGTAAACATCGTCAGACAAACAGTGCAACAGCCAATATGAAAAAGAGAAACAGAAATTGCTGAAGCCATTAGCACTAACCTCCTGGTCACTGCATGCGTTGGATGAGCTCCTTTTGGGGCACGTTCTCTGCCTGAAAAGGAGAGACAGCAACAACAACAAGCCCACGAGTAAGTTAAAGATGCATAGAAGAGAAGGTCTCACCTGTGCTCATCTTGTGATGGAGACCTAGCAGGTTATGAGCTCTCCTGCCTACTGGAGCATCCAAAACTCAGGACAACAAAGGCCTCTAGGCCAGGGAAGAAAATGATATGTTCATGTAGTGGAAAGTCAGCTGAAGAAGAGAGGACCTCTCATCGTCTTCCCATGATCACTGCAAAAGCAGGAACAGTTCAGACCTCTGCCAAGTCCCACCAGGATCGCCCTAGTCAGCTGCTCTTTCACATCAGTAACTTAATAGCAGGACTGAAATCCTGCCTTTGGTCTGGGCAGTGACATCGTTCTTATCCTGTTAGACAGAATATTTCATCTGCATAGTCAATATTACATGCTGGATTATATTTAGCAAGCAGAGAGCATCAGATGTTCTGCATTTGTATGAACATTTTATTAAAAGACAGCGCTGTGGCAGGTGACTACTGGGTAAGCATGGCTCTTGGCTGGAGGGAGTCATGTTCTTAGCTGTTTTTTCATGGTTTTGCTAAAATTGAGCTTATAAAACAACTAGTGTTTCTTGCTTTTGGATGAGTAAGAGTTAAGGTGTCACAAAGAAAGGCTGGCTGTAATGAACACCATAATGGCTGAAGCAAGACTACCTTTGTGTACAGCAGTTCTCCATGGGACAGTGCAAACACACATGGGAGCATTAAGGTGCTGAACAGATGGGATGTGACCCACGGTACAGTTTTTGCTACTATCTGTGCTGTTTGCTGGCATTTTTCCTCTTCTTGTTGGAGGGGTTGAATTGCTTCAAGGAATTTAATCTCCTACATGGAAGCTTTTTTTGGTTGCACGATTTCAAGTTTTTGGTCACCATTTCATTACTGGGGTTTTTTTAAGAATGGGGGCTTAGAGGCCACCTGATGAGGCTGGCCAGGAGCTGGCGTATGCTCCATCTCAGGCATGGTGGGTTTCATTCCTTCACTGCATCATTGGATCTCTTGACTGACAAGTGAATTGAGGGAGGAAAACAAAACATGACGTGACCCCGGCACTGTTCCAATGAATCAGAGAAGACTGCAGAGAAAGAGAAGAGAGAGTTGGCACTTGAGAATTTAATCCAGAAAAAATCCAGATGGATAGGTGTTACTCCAGGAGGTACACTGGCATCAGCCAATTCATGGGTTTCTTGGGGGAACTTGGGGCTAAAGCAGGGAAGGATCTTCCTTAATGCACAGATTTAGGAAGTGGGAGCAGGAAAAGGCTTCCAAACAGGACTGGTGTTGCTTTATCATGCAAGATAAAACCACGTAGGAAATACTTCAGAGTGGAAAATGTTTATGTAAATATTCCCCAGGCAAGCACCAGAACCGTGTCAACAGGAGTGACCTGGCAAAACATGCCCCAGAACAATGAATTAGTGTGGTGGTCAAGGCATTCAGGTAGATGGTGGGAGAACTATGTGTAATTCCCTGCTTTCTTCACATTGCATTCATTTTTTTTAATCACTTCCCCTCCTCCCAGCTCTTTCCTTCCAAAACCCATGACAAAAATTTAATCAAATATGATATATTCCTTTGAAATATTCTTTTTTCAAATAACTGGCATGTTACAAGCAAATTTGTTAAAATATTCCCACCTAGGGATTAAAGAGCACAAAGGAAATGTTCTCCTCTAAGAAAACACAACTTAGCACATATTTCTTCCTCACTGAACATCAGGCATTGGCAACCCAGACGTTTCAGTTATCTGGATGGTCTCACTTTTGGGTTTGTTATTTGAACTTTTAGCATGACTTAACAAACAAAATGTTCAAGTTCTCAGAAATGCAAATAGAAATGTGTTCCTCAGATTCTTCTATACAGCTGTCCCATTTCGAAGATACTCGTATTCCCCAGGACAAAGCTGAAAAGATGAAATATCTGGTTTAAAATGTCTCAGCAAGTGACAGCTATGATAAACTGTGGATAGACAGGGCAAGCTCTGCATAAAGAAACTGAAATACATTGCATCTATTTGGTGCCTTTCCTTGCCATTCTTTGAAAATGTGCTCTACAATATTTAGCAGGCACCATAACTACCTTGAAATCCACACTGCAGTTTGGCAGCATAAAACAAAGGGACAGTAAGGGTCCCTAGCAAAGATGTTTTCTGTTTGAGTATAGTAGGACAAGGGGGAATAAGAGAAAGAAGAGTCCTGTTATTCCCAATGTTTTAATTAGGATTAAAAAATAAGTGGCTGAAATGTCCCCATCTTAACTCTTTCTTTCCTCATCACACTTTGGGTATTGTGTTTGATTTCTGCTGAACAATTTGATTTACCGTTAAAAACCAAAACACGCAGAGGATAAAGAGTTTATAGATTCAGCCAATAATTTTGTTAGAAACCTGAGATATTTTCTTTTTCTTCTATTCAGAGCTGCTGGTACAGTACCTGGAGAGATGCACTAGTTTGCAGGACTGGGGTCTTTGTCTTTAGCTCATTCTGCAGTTGGACTACACCTCCCATGGCACGCTGCAGTACCTTGCCACCAAGGAGATTGGCGATTTAGATCGGTGTGCAGCTCATAGATATGAAACAGCCAACAAGCAAATACACCAGCTTCCATCATTTAAAAGAAGTTGTAATTGTTTGTGCGGGGGGACAGAAATGGAGGGCACAGCTACAACAGGCAGAGGGGGGGTTCTGGGTTGTGCCTACCACGAGGATGGCAGAGGAAGGGCCTGGCTTTAGCCCAGAAGTGATGAGGATTCTCTTGGAGGGTGTTATATGATAAAGCAGAATTTCAGCCCTAGGTGATGGTTGGGCTGCATGCAGTGACTGGCAGGGCAGCTTGCATGGAGCGAGATGGTTTTTTTTGGTGGGGGGGGGGGTGGTGGTGTAGTTGGATACAGGTCATTGGCAGGCTGTGCAGATGTAAAATGCAGTTGCAATCCATGAGTTGCAACCATCGAGCAAAAGTCTGACTGCATTGGACAGGATTAAAATTAAATAAGGTGGACATGTCTGTTGTTCTTGGGGCTTGGGAAAGAAAGTAAAAAATACCCCATTACTCAAACCAGGCCTCATGGCCAAAAGTAATTAGAATTATTGGCCAACTAACAACTGAAGCTTTCATTCCCTCCCCAAACAGCAAACAAAAGCTGCAGTGTGGCAGAGACTTGGAGTTTCCCCAGAGAGCTTTGCCCTGGCTGAATGCAATGAGCCTGAGCAGACACTGCTGACGACTTGGTGCATTGGAGTGGCTGTAGGTGCCAAGCCCATCCTGGGCCATTTCTACCCCTGGCAAGGCAGATCTTGCTACTTTTAGCCTAGCAAGAGCAGCATATAGAAATGGGGGTGGGGGGTGGGGGGTGGGGAGGATACACTAAACCTGGTACCTGAGAAACAAGTAAAGTACAAAGAGAAAAGAAAGCAGAAGGCAAGTTTGAATGGCCAAGAGCCTGAAGGTTACTATTAGCATCCTTTGCAATGGCACACTCCAACCAGGACAAGCTTTACCGCAGAGAGCTGGCCCCTTTTGTGAGCATAATGTGTAGTTAAAGTATCTTCATTTCTCCCTTTAGCCCACCCCTTGCCATCCTGCCATTTTCTGCAGTGAGGAGACGCTGTGGCTAATATGCATTTGACACCTGATTTCAAGCCCTATTTAGGGCAAAAAAGCATAAAATAGAGCTTGGTGAGCTCAAATTAAAATAAGGTTAGATGTGCTTAATGGCCTCTGCAGTCTTATTTCAAGCTGCACTAAAACCCCACAGCTGGGAAGTACAGGCAAGCTCCGACCTGTGCCAGCAGTTCTGGGGAAGGGACCAATATCCTTGAAGCAGCGCAGTAAAGAGAAGACGACTCTTCCAGTGCAATACAAGTGAGGTTACTCAGCACAGGTCATGGCATCGCTTCCACATGTGTCAGATCTCACGTAAATGCTTTAAGTCTGACAAGAAATAAAGTATTGTAATCAAGGCCTCCCTGGAATAGCATGCAGGCAACATAGGCAGCTGGGATAGTGAATGGCCTTTCAAGAGGCTAAAGGACTAAGGATAGTCTCCATATACAGTCAAGAGCTGACTGAGGTGTACCTCCCTTTTAAAAAAGAGTCATAGAGCAATGAAAAGGCATAAATGCCATTATAAAAAAAATGAGTTTAATCCTGATCCTGCACCATAGGACCACACTACGATGTATTTGCAGAGACCAGAACGTACAAACATTTGTATGAGGAGAAAAAAATGCATTCAGTTCTTCTCTGTTGGTCAGCAAGAGCAGAGCATTACTTTCTTTTGTAAACATCTGACAAGCAAAAAGTCAAATTGTGCATGTGCGCAGCATGGCCTGACTTTCCAAAGAGGCTATGCAGAGTAAAGTTCAGCCAGTAAAATCTAAGACTGCCAGTGTACTTCTTGGTTTGAATAATACTCTGCTTCATGGATAGTTACAGTGAAATTAAATAGGGGTAATGGAGAAAGAGCAGCCAACTCAACATGTGGATCAGCCCAGACTGCTGCCATGGTGAAGGGAGCATGTTTCTGTCTCTTTTGAAGATTGGAAAGGGTATAAAAATAAAGTGTTTGGTTTCTGGAAGACATTTTCCACCAGACGTTTTCCTTTAGAGCTAGCAAAAAATTGTGGTCTAAATTAGTGTTCTGCAAGTTCTTTGAAAAGGAAAAAGGTTAGTTAGATGTAACACATGCAAGTTTAACTCTTACAACTATGAAAAGCTCAGACCCTGAAAGCAGGAATTTCTATATACAGCAAAAGAGATTATATTTAAGCCTCCCCACCTTGCCTACATCCTCTTATACCCAGTATGATGGCCTATATTTTGTATTTATTCAGCAAGAGCTAGAAATGCAGCCTCCAAAAGGACAAGGAAAGCAAAGTTTCTCTATCAAACCAACCTTAATGAGTAGTAGTGGTTGAGCAATCCTGACACCTTTTGGGTTGGAGGATGCACAATAGATGAGGCAGGAGATGCAGGAAGAGTGAAGACAAACCAGTTGCATGCTGCCACTGGGAAAAGAGTGCTATTACTAATACCCACTCCACCACAGTGGAGCCCCTGTAAGGAGCAGGACTTGTTTCAGTTTACCTGACGTTTTTGTTGAAGTCAAAACACTTGAAATATACCATTTATTTTGACAAAAACCCAGGGAGCTTGGGCTCTGGTTTGAGTTTGTTGGAAGGAAAAAAAAAAATAAAAAATCACTGTTTCTACAAAAATGTTTTCACTAGGGAGTTAGTTAGAAAAATGCAAACATATGCTGGGGGTAAAGATCTCCTGAGAGATCTAAGGAAAAAGAAACATATAAAATAAGAGCAATTGGCTGGAAAGGGATGCTTTTGTCACTGGCTGATTTTAGCCATTTAACTTGTTAGCATCAATACCTGGAAATCAGCAGCCCAGCCTGACCATGAGCTCACTTGAACATGTCATTTTGGATGACATTTGGGGACAATCACAGGTACTGCAGCATGGCTCTCAGCCCTTCCCCAGCAGTCAAAGGATGTGCAGATGACTGCTTAATGTATGAAGTGTATTGCAATTAAAATGTCTGCGCAGTCTTTTGGATAAAACATGCTATAGACTGGAAACTATTTTTTAATCTTAATCCTAAGTGGTAATACTTTTGTTATTGTTTGCTTTTTTGCCGAGCATTAGTGATGCTCAGTCAAACTGTGGACTCGCTGTGAAAAGATGCAGTGGCTGTCAGGTCAGCCCGCTCAGGAGACTTGAGGAAGGATGATCTTTGTTCTGTATTTGTCCATTAGCCAGTTATTGTCCCAGAACTGAGGTTCAGAGGCAGCACTACCACTGAAACAAAATAATGCCCAAGAAAGTCATCACCCTTCAGGTATTTCTACAGGGGAAAGAAAATAAATTTGAGGCATAGAAACTGTAGAACTAGGAAAGAAAACTGAGGAGCCTAGGGCAGGAGTAATGACTGGCATTGATCTCCTCTGTATCCACACACTACTACATCTAAAGAACAGCAAGCATTAGCAGAGCAAAGGAAACATAACATTGTTTTCTGGTCTTTTTCCTGTATGGATAATATCCCATGCTTCAAAGACTCAGATATTCATCATCTTACCTGCAAGTTACACAGAATGCAGAAAGCAGAGCAAGTGTGAAGAAAACAATCCCCGTTACAATTGCCAGCATCATCATGTTTTCCTTTCTCCCCTGCCTTACAGCATCTACAGTGTTGGGTTCAGTGATATTCTTGTATTCAAAGAGCATTGCGAAGCCTCGGCCTCTGTCTGTGGTGGTGATCAGTTCCATGATAACCTCAACCATTTCCAGAGATGAACCAAAGACCATAGTCTTGTTTAAAGGTGAATTTGGTCCACAGAAGCGAGAGGAAAATGTGATGAGATCAGAAACATATAGTACATCATGGGGACATATGTCCACTGCTGACTGTGGGCTGGAAGAGATTTCCACGGGCAATGCTGTTGTGGGAAGAGTCCAGCTCTCTACCGTAACTTCATCTCTCTCACTAGCAGCTAGGTGGGCAAGCAAGATTTTCTCCTTCAAATCTGTTTCCAGGCCACTGATATTTTGCTTATGCATTGTGGCACTACCAGCCACAGGGAATGGCAGTTCTTCTGTTTGTGCCTTGGTAATTCCTTTAGGTTCCTTCATCTGCTTCGACTGGTTTTCTTCAGATGCTTGTTTGGCTTCATCTTTTTTTGATGTTGTTCCTGGAAGGTCATCCAGGTGACTAGGAAGGTCCTTTGGCTGATCTCCTGTGCTGCTCAGATTCTGAGCCACCTTTGACATCCAGGCCTGGAGAGATGGTTTTGTAGTATGGAGAGCAAAGTCCAGGTTTTCCTCAAGAGAAAGCATGTCCTTGTTTCCTGTCTTAGTGGGGGCTGAGAAGCCATCCCAGGGGGTTGGAGTTTCACTAGAGCTCTCAAAAATGTCAAAGTCAAAAATTTCCAAGATAAGATGGGTTCTCACGGGAATAAAAAATTGCCAAACACAGTGTGTCCCTGGGTAGTAGTTGTTTGGAAAACCTGGTGATAAAATCAGGCCTCTTTCCATCGATTCCACCACTGCACCACAGGAATAATACACCTGGGAAAGAAAAAAAATAAGCTTATATCTTGCCAGAGATTTTATCCAGGATGCAGTCTGCTAGATCTACTGAAGGTTCTATTCTTTTCTTTCACTTCAGGGACTGGTATAAGATAGCCTTAAGAAAGGGGAATTCAGTAAGCTTGTGCAAGTCTATTTTCTACTTTCCCATTTGGAGCATAAATCTAATAGGTCTTATATGGAAAGCCACTCATAAAGAGTATGGAAGTATATACTGAACGATCAGCCTCCACAGAAATATAACCCAGATGAGTAATTCACATAATTATCACTTTCTATTACTGATCATACTAGCATCCGTTTCTGCTGTTGGCTAACATACAACTTTTTTTACCACACAAATTTGTTGCCCGAAACAGCTGGTTGTGTGATAAAAGTCTTGAGAAGCTGAAGAAAACCTGTGTCACCAAAGCACCTCGAACTCTGTAATTTTCATTACAAAACCATTTTTTAATGTAAAAAAATCAAACCCTTGGGTTGATGATTAACCGTGATTCATCCATCCAACTCACCTTCTGTTTCAAAGACGTTCAGCCTTACTTCAGTAAGCAGTAAAATCTGCGTGGTTTTGATTGGGTAAATTTTCTCTTCTTCAAATGCAAATCAAAATAGAGATAGCAGATACCAGCTCTCACTAGTAAAATAGCAATCAACGTGCATTTTACATAACACAGCAATAGTCCCATGTGACATTTGCTATTTCTTCTTTCTCCATAAATAGTCTTTGGACTCCAAAGAGGAAGGAAGTCCATAAATGGTGGCACTAACTACCATGCTGCTTCTTCTCTAAAGGTACATATGGCCGCTTTCACACATCATATTTACAACTACCTTCTCCCAGAGACAGTCTAAGAGTCTTTTTTCCAAGACTCTTTCATAAATTTGGAGAGCACAGATCCCCATCTGCACCTTGGGCAATTGGTTTTGAAATGAGGAAAAATAAATCAGAAGTACTTAGGTCACAAACCCTGTCTAGGAGCATGGTTTTACAAGCATTAATTGGAAAAGAAAGGGAATGCTTTGGGCTTGGTGGGGTTTTTTCATTGGAAATGATTTGTCATCTTGGTCTGTTATCTATTTAAACACAAAGGAAGCTTGGCAGTAGAACAAACAAAGCTTATGAAGTCCATATAAAGCCACAAAGATCAAAATACTCCAGATTTTTTTTTTCTCTTAGTCCCTCCCCTTGGCTCATATTGAAATGGAAAGGGAAAAAAAATGCAGTGCCATATGTTAAAAGCCTTTAAATCCCTTAAATGAAAAGAAAAAGCCAGACCTGTTCTGCAAGGCAGGACCTTTTTTTCTCCAGCAGGTGCTGTTCATATTCTGGATGATTTCAGGGTGGATGGCAGTAAAAAAGGACAAAAACAGCAACGTGGGTGGAAATTGTATTCTGTATTCAACTTGAAACACAATCTTCGAGTTTCAAAAGTGTCATTTAAATCAAAGCTTATGTTAATTATAATGGAATAAACTACAAGTTTCTCATTTAAGGCACCTGGGCTGGACTATGTCGTGAGGACTCAAGTGGAAAAGAAACTACATTCATGTGCCAAATACATATTATTCTCTGTCTAATGCCTTAGGAGTTCCACAGCATGTAATACCAAAATAAATTAATAGAAATTTACTGATCTGTTCTCTAGGAGGTAAAATTTTTAAGTTTATTCTGAATTAGCTAATTCATGGTAAAACTCCAGGTGAAAATAGCAAAATTTTACGTCAGTTAGATCCATTTGCTAATTCATACCAGAATTACAGATACATTTGTTATCACTTGGATTTTACTAAAAACGAGCTGGTTTCCAGTGAATATGCTCCTCTTCCCTCATCAGGAGGATTGCTCCTATACTAGGAAGTAGGAAAGAGAGCTTTTCTATGACTTCTCTCATATTCCTTCCCTTTGTCCCAGAATATCAGTGCAGACTTCACAGAATCACAGAATGGTTTGGGTTGTAAGGGACCTTAAAGACCATCTAGTTCCAACCCCTCTGCCATAGGCAGGGACACAGACTTGCCTTTGTTCTGGAATTTCAGTGCAGAATTACCTTTGTCCCGTGATAGTCTTTTGAGCTCACATTTAAATAAGACATTTGCATAGCAAGAAACAGTAAATAATGCCTAACTTTTCAGCTAAAATATATACCCAGTTTTGGAGCCAGAATGTGCACCAGAACTGCTGCTATTGCAGGGTGGTACTCCTGGCTGTGGGAGGATTATAGATTGGCCCAAACCTCCTTAAATTAGCGATGATCGAGGGTTGAGATTTTATTTTGAGGAATATGTGAACTGATCTAGTTGCCTTTTTTCAGACACTGAGAAGGCGCTTGGAGGCGTTCACAGCCCCACCTCTACTACCAGAAGACTTTGTTAACACCCAAAAGCAGCATCCATCAGCTCAGTGGATCTTGTGGGATTAATCACCAAGTGCTGAATGGGTAAGTGCACCCCCCATAAATCCCTCGCCCCCGCTCTCAGGATAGGCTCCCTTTCCTGCCTTCATTTTCACTTGAATCTGTCATCATTTGGAGAGAAATATCTTGCAGACTCTATATACACCCAAGGAGTCTCGGGTTCAGATTCAAATGCCTCTTGTTCCCCTACAAGCCGTGTAGCCAGCAGTTGGCTGCAGTATCTAGCTGAATCCAAACAGGTATCCTGCATCGCCTGGGCAGGAGGGGATTTGTGCAATGTGTGCATTCCAGAAATAGGGCTGAAAGGTCACAGCAGTGGAGGAATTGTTCATTTATCATGGCGTGGGAGACTGAAAAGCTTTAAGACTTGCTCTGAGACCAGGAAAAAAACCCACAAGGAACAGAAAACGCAAGACAGGTCCAAGGAGAGGGGGCAAGATTTCTGATTAATTTATAATCCACAACTAAATGACTGACAAAACTGTTCATTTGAATCATGCATTATGAAGGCTGAGTTTCATCAATTAGATACAGCTGTTCACTTCTGCAGCAAGTTGTAGACTCGTGGGCTCGTGACAGAGGCATGCCAAAATTTTGGCACACTTTTAATCTTTGCAAATGACAGGTTGTTGTGTTTTTTAAAAACAACATGATATATGCCCACACCAATTAAGTTAGTTATGAACAGGGAGGAACAGATTACCAGTCCTGTTCATCTGCTTTTCAGTACTTCACATTCTGGCTGGGAGTCCCAAGTGTTTGAAACTGCTGTGTTGAAATGAACCTCCTGCCTGCTGTGGTCAGACATACCCTACCTGCCTTCTGAGTTAGGATAACTGAGGAACAGCAGTCAGTAGGTTGCAGAGAAGTAGCTCAAATCTCATCTATAGCTTATTGGCCAGAAAGTCAATGGTCAGATATTTCAGAACATGCCGAGATGTCGCATTTCCCCTTTTCACACTACACAGCCCACTCGGAAGCTTAAATCTATGCCTGTTACTAAAAAAACCCCTATTGTCACGCATTTACCTCCTCCTGTGCTGACATTTGAACTCTCTAGAAATGAGTAGTTAATATTGTCACCAGCTTTGAGCTACTTAATTAAGATACACATACGTAAGGAGTTTTAAGGCTTCTGCATCAGGAAACACAAGTCTAAGGAGTACAAGGAGGACCTTGTGCTAGGGCCTCATAGGTAATTCTGTGAGTGGTGGGACAAATGCTCTGCTGCTGTCTGAAGTGTAGGTTTGCAACAAACCCATGTGCAATGCAGTTGTAAGGAGCCTGGGAGTCTTTCTTAAGCATAAAGCTGTGCTGGGTTGGAACAGATGTGGCCACAAGTGACTGCAGGGCATTGTTCAGAAAACTCACCACAGACACCAGTGTCTGCTTCCTGAGAAGCACCATCTCTCAAAGAAAGAGCAGGCCCTTGATAGGTAGGGGTGTAGCACAAAGCCAGGATGTTATTTCTTCAAACTGGACACTATATACCAAAAAGCTCTCAAGAAGCAGGTGGCGCTTGTAAAAACCAGAATTCCCATGCAGGAAAGGGAGAAAATAATTATTTTGGTCAGATGAGAGTTTATTATATGGCCCAAGTATACGCACAAGAAAGAGTAATTATCATCATGTGAGTAATATAACCCTCAGCTCTGCTCTCCACTCATACAACATCTACAAATGTAGTCCTGGAGCCTCTGCATTATTCAAGTAGGAACATCATCAGGGAAGAAACACATTCTAATAGAATCCCACTCACTACAAGAATAATTTAATTAGCACATTTTCTTTAATCACAATTACTGCTAAAGAAGGCACCAGACTAGAACTAAATCAGAGGCATGCACAGAAGCAAGCTCTTCATTTTGCCAGGACAGGACAAGTTTTTGCAGCACCTTACTTGAAAGCCAGGAGACCCTTCCCTGCATCACCATGAGGTGATGCAGGGAGCCCAAAGGGAATGTGGAGAGGATGCTGTGATAAGTAGCTAGTAAGAGAAGGTGACATGGCCATGTGGTTTAGCTTGTGAAGTAAAGAAGTGGAAACAAAGTGAGGCAAGGTCCTGGCTCGGGAAATCCTCAGCCCATTTGTGCTCAGTTTTTGTTGAAGCTCAAAAAGATGAATTAGTGAATTTTCTTTATTCATGTTAATGCTGGTTACAAGGAGCTGCTGTTTGCAGCATCCTGGAGGACAGTGTCTTGCATCCCAAAGACTGTTAATTTTTAAAGTGTATTTATTTCAAGCAAGAGGAAAGAAGACATCCTATCTTGATGTTTGTCATTCCTCTGAGTACAATCTCAGATTTTCTTGCTCAAGATCTGACCAATGTAGTTTGTTTTCTTATATAATGTACTCACCCAAGAAGTGGCAAGTTCTCTTGTTGTGTACCCAGAGTCAGAGTAAAAGCCTCAGCAGAGGAAACTGAACCTGAGCCACTAAATTTCCAAGACACCCTCAGAGGCCAAGCCACACACTTAATAGTGATACCCAGTTGCAGGCTTGCAAAGAAATAGTGTGCAAAGATCATTACCCATTTTGCCCTTCTCAGCTTCTGTGCATTTCTCACATGAATTTCCAGTTTCAGGCAGACTTAAAAATGCCACTTCCACTTCTTTTTTAGAAATGACAGGGAAGGAATAATCCACTATATTCCAAACTGAACATTTAAGAGGTACTGCATTTATTATCTTTTTCAGGAACAGACGTGTGTTATCCCCTTATCCAAGTTAAAGGCTTCTTTTTGGTCTTTGCTTGAAGACTGTACTAGAAAGATTTAATACTAGAGTAATGAGTGAAAGTAAGCGTAAAAGCTGTTTATGCAGACCTTAGGCCCTTAAAAAAATTACTTTGAAGTGAGAACACTTCGTTATGATCCTGTGCTTTTGACCAAGGAATTATTTTTTGTCCCTTCCTGTAAAATATCCCCCCACATAAATGATCCTTTACTTATTTTTTTTTTTTTTTTGAGTAGAAAAGGGAGAACCCCTCCCTGGGTACCATTTTTTGCTTCATTTAAAATACAAAATCCACTGCAACTGCCTGGTGCCAGAACAGGACTGCAAACAGTATATGGCAGTTCTATAGTAACCTTATCTTGTCAGCCTACAGCTAATTCAACAGCAGCCACAGAGGTAGGTCGTTTCTTGACAGAGACGGATGCAGTCTGAGAATCCAAGATTGTTCAGTCTGGATAACTAAATTTAGCCATTTGAGCTCATTGTAGTATTAGTGGGGTGAAAATCCAGCAAGCTTTATTTACATCCCTCACCCTTCCAAAATTAAAAACATCTTATGTGCACACATGCACACACATGTGTGTTTCGAACAGTTGGCAATGCTTTGGTACTACCTCACCAGCTCCTTCACATTTTATTCTGCCCTGGGGACCTCTTTAAGGCTCTGGCTCCACCAACATCTTTGCAATTGCTCTAAACATGTAGGGTGAGGCATGGTATCTCAGTTACTTCCCCCTTCTTACCTCCAAAGGTAGGAGGTTCATTCTGAGATAAAGATTACTTGGATTCATGAGGACATTTGAGCAGAGCCAGCCACCTGAGATGAAACATGAAGTGGCCCAAACTTTCAGCCAGAGCGGAAAGAAAATGTTAAACTCGGGGTTCTAAAAGGAAAACATGAAGGAAAAAGGGAAAGTGGTAATTCCACAATCCCAGCTTAAGGAGGAAAACCAAGACAAGTCTTTACTTGCTGACGTGGCTGAAACTAGCTGCAAAGCTACCAGAAACACAATTCTTGTGGTTCCCAGCGAAAGCCCCAAGTTCTCTCACACTATTTCCAAGTTAGGGAAGTCTGAGCTTTTTGGATGCTCATCAAATACATGATCTGAGGAAAGATTATCCCAAGAGTAAGATATAAAACTCCAGCCTATTAGTTGAAGAAATGACCACATTTACTTCACTAGCTGACTGATCTAGAGATCAAAGCTGGTAGGACTTTTTCCAAGTAGAGGACAAAGTTAAATAGAGACTTTATAAAATTAGCGCTCTACTTAATTTTGCATTTTCAGCTCATCTTTGCATGCAAGGTTGATTTTCTTCCATTAGCATGAACTAGATACAGCAGCAGAACATCTAACCTCTTTTTCCACCTAGCACTACAAGAATTCCTGGAAGTGCCTTGGAATCACCATTTCTCCCTCTGCCAAACTGTCTTTGCTGTTTAAAGCATGAGGCAGCAGCAAAAGGAGACTCATCCCATTTTAGGGTAACTCTTCAAGTGTCTCTGGATGCTTGAAGGTAGCAGACCTGACAGAAGCAGATAAGGACATGAGATTGACAGAGTGTAACAAAAATTGCCAATACTTTGCTTAATTATTAGGAGAGAGTTTTCCCTGTCTCCTTTTTCCAGTCCTTAACTGTGATTTGTTTTGAGATTGATCTACAAAAGAGTTCTCATCAATTATGAGGGTATCTTCCTTGCTAAGGGATCTCCCTCGTCCTCCCAATAACCCTGTCTCAACACAAACCCATGTACCCGCACACACGCTTTATATTCTCTCTTTGCTCCTTGAGCAAATTCACATAAACAAGCACTGAACAGGGTTCAGTTGTGGGACTCTGAAATGTATGCTGAGCCGAGCATACATTTGCTTTTAATGCATTTATGGTAACAGAGCAGTTGCACTCATGTTTTTAAACAAGGGTCTAATATTTCTTGAAGTGAGTGCAACCTGCTGGATTTAAGCAAAACCAAAACTGCATTTTTTAACAGATGCTCTGTTATTTCAGTGGTGGGTAGCAGCAGTTCCACCACATGAAAGTGATTATGGATGTGACATTTCCACTCTGCAAATCCCGTTTTCTCTTATATTATATATTCCGACTTATATTCCTTCTTGGCATACATCAGACAGCTTCACAGGGCCCTGTTTTCACACCTATCAGCAAGATTTATGTTGGTTTTAGTGGGACATTTGAAGAGAACAAATATGCAGATAGGAAGGGAAGGAGACTAGGAAAGCCTGTTGCTGCAGGAGACAAAGAAAATAGAAATCTTGGTGGAAGAGTAGAGCAGGGAAGTTTGGAATGCAGTGCAGCAATTAAAGCAAAGAATGCAAAATCTGAACGAGACTTGGAGGCCCAAATATGCCTCAGACTGTAGGCATGCTATTTTCTCTTATTCTTCCCATATGTGACTTTGCTGCAGCTGAGCCCTGAGCTCAAGCGTCACAACAAGATTGCTTGGAAGGCGCTGCTTTATTTCAACAGAGAACAGATCGCCTCACTCCTTAGGAACAAAGAGTGATCAGGGAGGGTGGTAATGTTTGCGTACCCTTGGACGAAGGCAAGTAGGCTCTGTCAGGATGGAAAGAGGCTGGCAGGGCTCAGGATACCCTCACCTGCTCTGGGTCTCCAAGGCCAGCTCCTAGTGCCTGCCTGTAGACACAGCATTTCCTACGGCAGCTTTCCAAACCTGTAGGCAGGGCCTTAGCGACAAGGCAGGCCATTGCCACAACAGAGCTCTGTGAATCAAAGCAGCTGCAGAAGAAGTGGCAGGAGAAGGTCAGCGATCTCATTAGAACCGAGAGGCCCGGGCCCCCAGCCACCACGAGGTCCCAGCTTCACAGCTGCAGTGCATTTTGATACCTGGCCTCAAGCAGATTGCATAATTGCACCATGAGGTCACCATCCATCCGTCCTCCTTGATCCTCTCTGAGAACAGGAGGTGGGGAAAAGGAAAATCACAAAAACCCAAACCTGGGTGCTCCAACAACAACCAGGCACAGCGACACACTCCAGTTTCTGTGGAGAACAACAGACCTCCTCATTTAACTCCAGAGATGTAATGCGTTTTTCTCCTTACAAAAAAATGCTTGTTCCCAGAGACACAAATAGGGGCTGTTTTCCGAACAATCACCCATGGAAAAGCACAGCTTTCCATAGGATGATCAGCAGTATATGCAGTGTGGGCATACATTGTAACTTGACATTTTGTACTTTAGAGCAACCAGGGGAAAGAGCCTAATGTTCTATTGCTTTTGGGATGTTCAGGTGAGAAGCAAAACCAGTTTATCCTTATTATGCCAGAGTAACTGATGCAAGATTCCTATGTAAGGCAAACAACGAAGATCACCCAGGTCTCGATAGGGAGCTTTGCTGGCTAATTTGGCTTGCCTCCCTCTGCAGGCAAAAGCCAGGGTTGTTTCCTGCAGAGGGAAATTCAGAGGAGGAGTTAGAGATGGTCTTAACAGCCCTCTGAAAGGGTATCTCCCTCTCTCAGACAAGGTGGGACTTTAGGAGGCTTACTGGCTAACTCAGCTGCCGAAAGGTTCATAGGTGAAATCTCAGGATAGAGGAAAGACAATAAAACATTCTTGCTCTTTTCCCTCATAACATAAATAGGCAGAAGTTTTAGTTCTCCTCTTTCAGTTCTTTAATTAAGAATGAGTTGGATTCACCTACAAGGTGTCTTGCAAGTTACAACTATGTAATTCTGGCTAAGCAGAGTTCTCTCTACTTACCCAGTTCTTCTTTTGATTTAGATTTTTAAGGCTGGAAATTGTATGATGAGTAGGTTTTCTCTGGGCTTGGCAGCAGCATGGCAGTTTATGCATATATTTGCTACCTGACAACTTCCCAGGTTGAACTTACCACCACAGGAGTAATCCTGGCATTCACTGGTTATTCAGTAATTATCAAGTTGTAGACGCACTTATGAAGATGACATAAAATATTGGTAGAAGTATGAAATACAGATAGAAATGCTCTGAAAGAGACCTAGGCCAAGGCATAAGACACTTCCAATGTTTTCTTTAATTTCACTGGTACATTTATATCAAGGTGCTTTTACTAGAAACTACGTGCCAGGTCTAATTCTGAAGTCTTCTTCATCCTTCACTGCAGCCTCACATTGCAATATTAATTTCCTCTTCTCTGAAAGGGACAAAAGCTAGATTGTTTTCCTATGAAAAATCTATCTAAAACATGCAAATCTGGTTCTTGGAAAGACCCACTTGACTGGGCATTGTTCCCTTGGGGGCTATAACTATTACACTCATAAAGTAGAACTACATTTAGCAGAAACCTGTCATTAGTATCTCATAAATTTATCATGCTATGTTCATGCAACAGATGCAAGTGAGACATGTCATTATGAGAGCAGTCTGAACATTGGGTTTTCCCTTTCAGCCCAGAGTTATCTTCTATGAAAAACATACAATAGCTTAAATAAGATCCACCAGAGAGTGCTAGAATTCACATCGACAACCAGCTTTTCTTGTGGTCTTTTCAGATTAATCCTTGCAGGGGAAAAAAAGCCAAGAGCTAACTCTCGTGACTGGACACGCAACAGACAAATAGAGACTCTTCAACAAAGAGGCAAGATGCCAGATCAAATATGATCCTACATCTATACAAAGCTGCTATCCCTATTCTAGGGTTGGAGTTTTGTTGTTTGGTGGTTTTGTTTGTTTTCTTCAGCAAATACCCTCATTCAAATATACAAAAAAATGCAAAGCTTTAGAAAGAGAAACAAAGGCATCATTTAGAGTGTCTCCTCAGGCAAAAAATCATGACTATGATGGGACCATCGTAAATAAAATTAAGGCAGTGTAATGAAGAGTTCAAGATGCCATGGCTATTTGCTTCAGGGTTTTAATAGGTCAACATAGGTCTTTTTTTTTTTCTACTAGAGCAAGTTCTCATTAACAAAGTGTACACAACACACCATAGAAGAAATTAACAGTAAACGATCGGGTTGGTGAGAACTAACAGGGGTGATGAGGAAGTTTCCAGAAGATCAATCTGGTTTTCATTTTCTATAAATTGAACAGGCCAAAACAGCTCAAATTAAAGAGTAGAAAACATGGTCAGACTCTTTGAACTGCTTGGTAACCAGATGAAATATATAACAAAACAAAAGCTACAGCACTGCAGTAAAAGTTCGCTCGTAGAGTTCAGTATAAAAGTCTATTGAGCAAGTCATATCTGGTCACAGGAATCGGTAAAACTAGTGTTCCCAAATTAAGTTTATATATATAACCTCCCAAATACATGGGGAAGATTTAAATAATGAAATCCATATGCAGCTTAGGAGCCCGAAACCGCTTTGTTTTGTTTTGAAAGTATCAGAAACAGGAGAAAAGGGAACTGAAAGGCAATCCCATGCAAAGTCTGCTGGCCACTTGCCAGGAAATAAATTTGGATCTTTAAAAACAAACAAAAACACATATACATGTAAACTGGCCTTGCAAAAAAAAAAAAAAGAGCTGTTTGTGCTCAGATTTCCAGCTGCATGACCCTGTTGTTTCATCCAGACACTTCAGATGTTTCACATGTTGGAAGTCTATTGTACAAACATACGGAGAAGGAAACATTCCACACGTGAAAGCCAAATCCTGCAAATACTCCGTATCACCACTATCATGCTGCAGACTTGTTACCACAACTCTTTAGGTACTGGGTTGTTGTTTCACAAAATGTCACTAGCAGGTGAGAGGGCTTATGCAGAAGCCATGGAGAGTGATCATTAAAAAGCAAACAAAGAAAAATCCTCTCCCTTCTATGCAGTATTTTTAACTAAGCTCCTAAATAAGCCATTGCTATGGTTGAGGCTGGCCATTCAGAGGTCTGTTATGGTCTGGATGCACACCCTTAGTTTTGGATGGTATACAAACAGCAGCAATTTTCCCCACCTCATTCCAGGATTAGCCTCCTCTTGTGCACTCTGCAAAGGGAAATTTCCAGGACTCCACCTTTGCCAGGATTTCAGAGAGCAGGATGCTTGTAAATTTTACTTTACTGCCTACACATAAGGAGAGACCATGAGGGCACAGCAGGGAGGGTGTGGGAGAAAGCAGAAAAAAGTATCACAGATACTGCAGCCAGAGGAAAAACTAAGCACTGGGTTTGTTGTTACAGGGCCCCAACCAGTGAGCAGTTTATTTTTCCAAATAAATCTGCTTTGCAGACATCCTTTCTTCTTCCCCATTCAAGTTTCAACCAGGAAACTTGTGATAAGTTACTGTTGATTTTAGAGGCAAATCAAAGTGTTCAGCCTGCTAAGCTTGCATTTAAAGTTAGTCTTCATGAACAATTCCTTGGGGCCCTTGCATTCAAATAGTGATGTCTTGGGTTCACCTGAAAGTGCCCACCCATGCAGATCTATAACACAGGCACAGAGACAAAGGGATGGGCAGCCTGGGCTTCAAGCCCCCATTCTAACAGTAAAGGCTCCACATTTTAAGTCAAATCCAGAAAAAGAAATACAATCTTTTAATAAAAACTTAAAGAAAACTCATTCAAAATAGTGAAATACTTACTAAGCAAGACCAGGAGAGGGCTAGATTTAGGTAAAACAAGTGGATTAGATCTCCTAATCCCAAATGAAGCACAGTACAGAGCAGGCACACCCCCCTTGGAAAGGCTGAGTGGCCAACTTTCTGGGATCTCTATCATGTTGGACTTTGAGAGGCATTTCATCCCAGATCTCCTGTATTCAGGAAGCTGTCCTTGTTAGCATCCTTGGCACCTGACCCTTGCTGCAGTCCTGCTATTCCTCAACAGAATAACAAGACACTGTGGAAACAGATCAGTAAGAGATCAGTGAAATTCCAAAACTCCCTTCTTCAGAGCTGACAGTAGTTCTGAATGGAGGCTCGTACCAGCCCATTTTGTTTAGCTGGTTTGATGTTGCAACCTGGCTGCTAATATAAAGAAATGAGAAGAATAAAATACTAGATGAAAATGAGATAGCACAGCAGGTTATGGCTTGCATGTAGCAAATTTGCTTTTGTTTTGCCACTTTGAACACCACCCACCCCTGCTTTATATTGAAGCATAGTGGTACTGCCTGTACTCCCCCAGGACTAAGGATTTCACTTAATTTCACAGTTTCTTTAATTAGATATTTGTGAAACTCTGAAATCCTCTGATGAAAGGTGCTGTAAAAGTATTAGCAACTCTTCTACCATGAAAGGACTCCACCCAAACCCAGATACAGATGTTGTACTCAATATACATCATTACTAATCCAAGCCAGCAGTACTTATGGCCTGATTTATGTTCTCCTGAAGTCCCAGATGACTTCTGTGAACTCCAGTAAGGCCCCAAGAATTCTAGAAAGGAAATATAGGCAAATTAGCCTTTTTTCGTCTCAAAATTGGAACCTCCTTTTCATTGCCAATTACATGAGAAAGGATATTCGAAATGAACCATAAGGCCATTTGCTGCTGAGAGCTTGTAAGAGGAGTTATAATGTTCTTGCACTGAGTTTGAGAACTAAGGCTGACATTAAGGCTTTTCCCTCCTTCTGTATAATTGTTCTACATCTTATTGCAAAACCCTATAGTGCCCTGTCCCTACTCCGCCCTCCTCTTGCCAGGGATTTGTACAAGTAGAAGAGGATTATTTTCCTACTTAGTACTTCCCATACTCAAGGAATTATTAAACACCAAGTTTAATATTTATCATTTATTATTATTATTTATAGACCTGAGATATCTGGCCA